GGAAAGGGGCAATTATGCATGTCGCTCTTAAATATACAAGGTCACATCCGTGCGCACACCTCTCAGAATAAATTAATTTCGAACTCCGTTGCAGAGCGGTTCGAATCATGGACGATTACAAATATCTAAGCTGCTCACGCTAAGCGCAACGATTCGCATCTGAATTTTTTTTGTTTTTTCGTTTTCCTTTTTGGCTAAACGTCCCGGTGTCGGATCAGGCGTGGGAAGGATCCCACGGAACGGAGTTATAGATGCTGCCACTGGGTCGGCATGAGATTGTTCGAGGACTGCTCGATGGCCCGCGCGACGGACTCGTGCAGCCCGTGGCCGAGCCAGAGGTGATTGAGCCGACGGTACTTCTCGTGGCACAGGTGCAGCGGATTCCCGCGTCGCAGGCCCTGATCCGTCTCGCCGTATTCGTCGAGATACGGCGCGCAGACGAAGGAGCCGCGGCTGGGCGTGCGCAGGAACATGATCTCGCATTCCCGCACGCGCAGGAATATGCCGACGCCGTAGCCGCACTTGCTCGCGTGATACGTACACGCGCCCACCGCGGTCTTGTTGAGCTCCATCTGGCAGCAGTAGCTCTGCGAGCAGAGCATCTCGCCGCAGACCAGGCACATGGTCGGGTTGCGCGAGTCCTCGCGCTCGCTGTTCGGGCACGTGAACAGCGATATCGAGTTGATGAGCTCGCTGTAGTCGTCCGGCAGGTCCACCAGTTTGTTCACCCTCAGCGGGTCCTTGACGATCTGCGCCTTCTTCGTGCCGGACAGATGACCCCACACAGTCGGATGGTTCCGCCATACGTTCACCAATTTCAGGGTCGCGTCCAGGTAGGTGTAGATCAGAGCCTTGCAGGTGTCGGGCAGTCCCAGGTAGAGGCAGAGTTTCTCATACGTATCGCCGTGCAGCTGCGTCAATTCGGCCGGCGCCGGCACGTCGGACACGTAGTGGAAGTAAATGGCGCAGCAGCGGAGGAAGGGCCGACAGGCGGTCTCCACCTGCCGCCAGATGTCGTTGGCCTTTTGCTTGTTGAAGTGGACGCCCAGAATGTGGAACAGGGCGATGTCCGACTCCTCCAACGTCTCGGCGTCTCCCTCGTTAATGTCCACCTCCATAGCGTTCGGGATGTCACTCGTGAACAAGATCTTCACTATGTGGCACAGGAACACGAGCTTGACCGCGTGCGACTCGAACACATCACCTGTGATGATGGGCGGTGGATTCGAGTTGATCTCGTACGCCTTGAGGGTGTGAAAGACGCTCGGTAGCGAGTTGATGAGCGGCACCAGTACGCCGAACGGATCGATGTCCAAGATGCTGGGCCCGCTGGCAGGATTCTCCATCAGTATCGTCAGCAGCGACACCGCGTGGAGGACGATCTGCTCGCGGTCCGACCAGAGGTTTACGCGATTTGAGAAATTCGCACCCAGCAGCGCCGACAGTCGCACGAGACTTTCCAGGCTGTCAGTTTGTCGCGAGGTCATGGTGCCCAACAACGGCTTCTCCATGTCGCGCAGCAGAAACTCTATCGAGTGGATCGTGTACGCCGTTGACTTCCAGGCTAGCAAAGGCACCTTCAGACCCTCGTCGTGGCATCCGAATCCCTTTAGATACGTGGCCTGGCCGAACAGCGACGCGTACATGTGTATCATCGTCTCCATTTTTCGTGCAAGTTTCGGACCTGATCGCGAATATTGAGCATTGAACGGCTCCCACGCTTCCTTGATCTCGTGGGAGAGAACGGTCATAGGGTTGATGACCTTCTTCATCTTTTCACAGCTGCCCATCTCCCTCTCCCCCAGCCCGTCCTCCTCCGTGTCCATGACCTTGCCGAACCTACCGTTTGGCTTGCACTCCATCGTGAGCGCCATGACCTTCAGCCACATCTCGAAACTGATGTTTGGCTGTGGATCCGGAGTCGGCTGCAGCATTCCGAGGGGCGGCACGAGCAGAAGAACGGTATTGCTGAGACACTCGCACAGCGGACAGAGATACTCGTGGTTCTCGGCGTCAAAGCCAGCCGGCTGTCGCGATCTGTAAGGTCGTCGGTTCTCCTTAGCAAGAACGTTGTCGAAGTAGTCTTGCCAGCAGCGGCCGTGCATCACGTGGCCGCAGGTGCTCGTGTACGGCGACGCGCCCAGTTTTGCCGACAGGTAAAGCGGATCGGACTCGTGAAGATCGGACCGGCGTTGACACAGCACGGTGGACTGCTGGACAAAGGCGGCCAGCACCATCGCCGGGCCGTTCTCCGTCACAATCTGATCCTCCTGGCACAGGATGCACGTGTACGCCCTCTGCTCGAACAATCGGTTCGTTTGGTTGATGCCGAGGGCGACCGGAGAACCCTCCTGAGATGACTCAGACAGGTCCATAGCTGAGCCACGATCGTTGGACTTGCTGTTGGCGTCCAGGGTCGCCTCTTCGAACAGAGTAGCATTCTTCTTCATGAAGTGCTTCTGCATAGCTGTCATCTGCGCCATGATCTTGGCACGCTTCTGAGCTGCCATCTTCGTACGCCACTCTTTGTCCTTCTCCTTGTTGGTGTTGGCGTCCGCCTCGCCCGCCTGCTGCTGCTGCTGCTGCTGCTCCGGCTGCTGAGCGGCCGCCGGACAAACATCCATGCTATTCAAGCTGGCAACTTCACGGTACTTCGCCAACACCCATGTAAGCAGATCCTTGTGAGCCTCTATACGCGAACTGCTGGACAGATCCTCCAGCAGTTTGTAGATCTTCCACTTGGCCGCTCGCTCCGAAAACACGAAGAAGGGATAGTGGCCGGATTCCTGTTCCTGCAATGCATAACCGATTAGATGGAGTATCTTGTGAACCTGCGGTTCGGAGAAGCTTCTGGCCATAAAGTTGAGCGCGCGCTCCAGCACGGTTTGCATGATGTGCAGCATAACGTCGCACTGCAGCAGGTTCACCACCAGAGTGAACCGGTCCGTTAATTTGGGCAGCTTCGGTGGCGGACAGCACTCCAGTTCGCCCTGAGTTTTCCTGCGCTTCCGCTGAACCTCCTCGGACCTGCTGTGCTCCTCCTTCGTGTAGTGATAGAAGAACACGTTGTACTCCGAATACAGATGCGGCTTCAGCTCGTACACGCCTTTGCCGGCGGACACTTGAGCCGGTTTCTTGAAATCCGCCACCTCGTGTATCACTCTCTCCATGTCGGTCTGGATGTGATGAACGACGTCCTCCGGCAACGTTTTACTCAGCTCCGAATGCGAGAGCGGCTTTATGCACAGCTGCTGTATGATCTCCTTCTTCAGCCGGTCGTCCGCGGTTACATGACCGACGCCGGGCACGTGTCTCTCGCCGATGATCGTGATCAGCAGGCCCAGGAACTCTTCCACCAGATTGATCGTTTGCCGCATACCATCCTCCTCCGCGTTCTTCAGGGCGTTCACCTCAAAATCCGGCTGCGCCCAGTTGAGGAGATTGAACTTGTTGAGAACGTGAATGAGAAATTCGTTGCTCTCAATCAGACGCGCGCCGACTTGCAGCAGAATGATATCTCGATCCAGCATCTCGCTGCGGCACTTGACATTGTGATAAAAGTACAGCTGATTCAGCAGGGAGTAGCCGTTTCGCCGCCACATGCCCGAGTGGACCTGTGAGATCATAGCCTGCGCCGTCAGCACGGGCTCGATGATCTGCTCGGGCGTCGGCTTCGTCTGATTGATGAACTCGGGCGAGTGGAAGTGCAGACGGTACTTCTCCAGCTGCAGGAATAAACCGGCGAGGAACCGCGAAAGCGGCAGATGTATCGAGACCGGTTCGATCGATACGTCGTATTGCAGACACGTCGCGCTATGATCCGCCAGCTCGCGCACCTGACTCGGCGCCGGATCGTTCCCCAGCTGCTCGTACAGCTTTCTCAGCAGCAATATGAAGGTCTTGACGAGAACCACTCGGTCCGAGCCGCACCATTCCAGGGCGAGAGTGATGACCGGCGATAGTTTGATGTGGAGATTGAACGCAGATTCCCACTCTGGCTCGTATTCCATGTGCTGGCCGACCTGCCGTAGCACAGCGTCCATGCATTGCATGCTGCAAAAGAGCGTTAGTAGCAAAGAGATACCCTGCAGAAAGCCGCGTTTCAAATCGTCCGTCCATTTGTCCGGCTTCGCGCTCAACAGGTATCGCAGATCGTAGAGTATGTATTGAGCCCGCTTGAAGGTCTGATGCGGCATGTTCCTTTCGAATTCCAATTTCCCGGCCGCGTTACATCGCCGGGAGCTCTCCGAGATGAACGTGTTCAGCAGGATAAACAACACGTCGTGATGAGCGATGAGTAGATGCGCCAGGGTCGGCACAGTGAACAGTTGAACGGAGAGCGAGACGATCGAGAATGCGTGATCGTGGTCGTCCTTGATAAAGTCCTTCATGACCAAGCCGTAATTGTAAGTGAACATGATGGCGAGCGACTTCTTGCTCTCGTATTCCATAAGCATTCCAGATATGAACAATCTGTGCCAGGCCGTTCTCGCGGACTTCCACAGTTGCGAGTCTCTCGTGAGTATGCCTTCGACGATCGACACGTCGGGCAGCTTCGTGTTGAGCGCGATGTTGCTGAACAGCACGCGAAAGCCCTCGCAATGGCTTATGAACTGTTGCAGCCAGTTGAGCAGTCTCATAGCGAACGTCTGATGGGCGACTATGTGTGTGTGAAGTACGAGAACCTTGAGTGGCTGATTACTGTGTCTGTAGGTGAACCTCTCGATCTCGGCGCGTAGCTCGTTGCAGGTTCGAAACACCGAGCACTTCACCACCGCTCTGCCCTCTCGATCGACATTGGTTACGTATTCTATGGCTTCCTTCTGCAAGCACTTGAGGACGCGCGTCAGCATGCTTATCACTTGATCAAACGTGTGATGCTCATCGTTGAATAGCACAGTGCAATAAGTATCGAAAGTGTTCATTTGATCATCCGCGAGCGAGTAATACGACGTGTCTCTGATACAGAGATTCGACGGTAACGACACGGTGTGCCGCGAGGTCAAGAGTTCGTAACAGTACTCTAACACTGCCTCAAAAACTATCACCGCCCTCTCAGCGATATCACCGGGTAATTTGTTGCCGCGCGACTCCTTCGACTGCGTCCCCGCCAGATGTATCTTGCAGAACGGTTCGCTTCTCCAGGCTTCTGTGTCGCCGCAGTCGCAGCAACCGCCGCCGTTAGACGTGCCCATTTTATACTTGTGATTCCGATGGGCGGACTGTTTAAAGCAGTCCACACATAGAACACACGTCGAGTCCATACCGCACTCCCTGCAGCTGTACGTCGGTTCACCCATCTTGAACATCTTGCCGCATATAGACGGCGGATTCTCCATTTTGCTGAGCTCCTTCAAGATCACCTGCGGATCACCGCCGCAAATGAATTCCTCCAGAGTCTTAAAAAGCATCCTGTTTGCTGTTTCCTCATCGACTGTCCACTCTAGACAGTTGCCGTTACGTTCCAGACTATATATCTTTGGCACCCAGACACGCCAATATTCTCTAAAATTAATGTTTGTCAACACTCTGTTGTTCATCTTCTCCAGCCACACGTCCACACATGGTGTGCTTGTGTCCGGAAATATAGGCTGTATCGAAGCAAGATCCATGTCTTCGATTGGTTGAGCCAGCGGCTGGCTCTTTGCATTTTCATTACTCATCTTGTCTCACTTAAGCTGCTCCCACACCGTGTACTAGAACAGCAAATGTGAAAAAAAAAACAGTAAGTCACAAAAACAAGTTATTTCATCTTTCATGCAAAAAAGATCAAAGCAATACTAACCAATAAGACATACACAATAAAAATAATCCCAGGTGTAATGCGAGCAAATGCACATTTTATTCAATGTTCTTAAACAGCCAACTCATCCATATTATCTTATTTACTACAAAACATCCTAGAATCTCTGGTAAGTCCTTTGTGTCAGAGGTTGCACAGATTTTGATAACCACCACAAAAAGTTCTTTATTGCACGCGTAGTATCACCATTTTTAGCAGCTCGCAATCTGAAAGCAGCCATTTGTCGTCAGTTTATACGTGCCAAAAAAGTACATTCAAATATAGTTCATACATTCTTAAATCCTGTTGCGAGAAGATTAACTCGAATTTAACAATCACATGTATACAATTACGTGTATTTATTAAAAAAAACCGCAAAATGCGCGAGTTCAAACTCCAAAATTGGAAGCACGATAACGATACAAAATTCAGCACGTATCTTCGCGAATTGCGTTGTTAAGCAGTTTCACCATACGTATATGTATGCGTAACATATCTCACGCATTAGTCAACGGAGTGACGAGCGATTTGCAAAACATTGGTCGAAACACTGGCGAACTTTTCGGCAAACTATTTTTAACCCCCTCCCTCGACCGTCCTGAGGACGATACTCACTGTTGTCGACGAACGGGTCAAGGTTAATAAGAGGTGTTCCGCGACTCTTTGTCCCCTTACGAAATCCGTGACCATTTGCCACAGTACGCGAACGTCGCTCGCGTCTCTGTTCCTCGCCGTGCGACGTCGTCGTCGGCGTGTTCACGCGCGACACTGCACACTACGCAGATCGCACGGTCGCAAGCGTTGACATTTCGCACGACAGATAATATTTTCGCACAGCTGCTTCTACGATGGTGCACAAAATGGCTTGCGAACCTCTGCAAACCGGGATCATGTAAACACCAGAGCGGAGTAGAGAGTCGTCTGCTACGAGCCGTAAGGCGCACTTCAAATAAAGAATGTATCGGAAGGCGATTGGCTGGTTGCTTCTTACTGTGGGAAGCTCGTTCCATGTGCATCAGCCATAAACTGCGTTCGTATTGCAGCATCAATTGGACCAACTATTCGTTTTCTCATATTCATAGTCGTACTTTTTCCGATGCATTTCCCAACTGTTGACTGCACGCACCGCTGTCGCCTGATACTCTCGTAACAGAATTGTAATCGAAATTCCTAATATGGCTAGCGAGAAGAAACCGCCGAAGACGAAAAATGCCGAGGAGATATTGACGGAGTTTCAAACACTACGGGATGAACAAAGAATGTGTGTGAAGAAATTATCAGAAATGGAAATGGAGCTGAACGAGCACAAGTATGAATCCACCAACCTATACACGTGCATTTCTCTTCATGACAATCGAATCATTCGTAAACGCAAATCAAAAGTTTGGTGGTTCAAGTGACACGTGTCTTTCTTATTTTTAGTGTTTTTATAACTTTATGGCCATGAAACTATCGAGGGAATGTATTTGTTGTTATTTTCATTTCATTAATATGGCTAACATTTCAGGATTGTTATTGATACGTTAAAAAATGTAGATCCCAAGAGGAAATGCTACAGAATGATTGGTGGGATTTTATGCGAGCGTACAGTTGAAGATGTGATGCCTGCTTTGGTGACGAACAAAGAACAGGTACAATGTATTGCATTATTTGCCTAATATTGGTATTAATATTCCTGCAGTTTTTTCTGGTGCAGGATATTATTTTTGCATACAAGCAATAACATCTCAATTTTCAGTTGGCCAAAGTAATAGATGCATTAAACGATCAAGTAACAAAGAAAGGAATTGAGATCAACGAGTATAAAGAGAAGCACAATATCAGAATCAGAGGACAAGATGATTTACAGCGGCAAGATGAGAACAGTAACAAGGAAGCAAAGAGAAATGCAATTGTTGTGAATCCGATTGACGTTTGAGTGTAATAAAATTATTGGTTTTCTTTTGTCATTACACATTCAGGTATTTCGTATAAAATCGAAATCCATATTTTTAGGTTACATGCATTTTTAAACTTAAATTGTTTTGTATTTATTATGCCATTTTGATAGCATTTCATATAGTCTTTAATATAGAGCTTAATATGTTGAAGTCATTGTTAGGTGTTGCTGTAAACAAATTAAGCATTACATCACATTTTATAATATCGCAGATAAATTAGATCTGTACAGTTCTGAAATCTTGTAGATGTACATGTATCGCTAGCTGTATCAAAAGTGAAATAATAATGTTTGCATATATTTCTTTGCTCTTGTGCGTCTTTGTGTATATAACTTTAATAATGAGCAATAAATTGTGCTTTTGCTGAAAAGGACTACTTTAAACACGCCTATTATGAATTGTCTTTATAAAATTATTAAAATGTTTTAATATATTTTTTATTCTTGTCTTAGTACTCTTTCTTTTTTTTTTTTTTTTTTTTTTATAACAATTTTATATATGTAACTTATCTATGAACCAAAAAAATCTTACATTTTTATTTATCTCTTGCAACATGCAAGTAAGCTGATATTTAAATGCAATGACCTAAATAAAAAAAATTTAATTATACTTTAATTTTTATGCAAATTGAAAAGGAATTTTATATAAAAAGATTGAAATCCGAATTCAACCATATTTACTCCCGCAAAATTGCCCAATTAATTGCGATATTTCATAGGGAATTTTGATAGTAAGAAGAGTTTTGTGCATTATCTGGCAAGCACAATACAAATTTATTTAGCAAAACATGAATTTGTATAAAATCAAACAATTATAACATTACAAATATCTCTTGATTCAATTTGTTTATTAAATGTCGTATTAAAAACCTTCGAACCGATCTCCTCAATCAGCAGACATACTATCACTTCATGCCCATTGGCGTAGTCCTGCGATTTTCGCTGGACGTGCATGTCAAAAATTTGTGATGGCGGCGATGTTGAAGGTTAGTGGACAGTGAATAAACAAGTTACCCACTCAAAAGCATGGTAAATTTCTTTAATTTCTTTAATTTATAATATAATTTTAATCTAAAAATTTATGTTATTTTACTACGGACTATGTGATAATAGATAATTACACCGCAGAATCAGCATCGATATTTAAATTTATTTGCCGTGAAAATTCGAAAAATATACGTTTTTATTATCATATCGTGCACTTTACGTTGCAATAATTAAACAATTAATCGCATTTATATCGAACATTAATGGAACATTATTTTTATGCGTTTATTTACTTTATTTTTCCTTATATCTCGATGCACCTCAATCATTAAAATATTTTTCAGCGATTAATTTTTTGCTTTTTTTTAATTTATTCTTCTCTAAACATGTTTGACAGTATATATTCATATTTAGGACAAGGCACAATTTACATTTGAAGATAAATGGCCGTATATGCGACCAATTATATTGAAATTACTTAAGCAAGAGCCAGTGACGCAGGCAGAATGGCAGGATTTATTTTACTCTGTCCATGTATGTTTATGGGATGATAAAGGACCCCCTAAATTACGTGATGCTCTAAAAGAAGATATAATGGATTTTATACAACAAGCTCAACAGGTACGAAAATAAGGAAGAATTATTTTATGCTAAAGATGTACTTTTACACGCTATAGTAGGATCTTTCTATTTTTAACTTATTGGATACCAATTAATTAAGAATAGAGAGAGCTGATATACTTTAAATTATAACTTTGTGCAGAGAGTTTTAACACATCAAGAAGAGCAAGCATTGTTGAAAGCATATATAGCCGAGTGGAGAAAGTTTTTTACACAATGTAACTATTTACCAACACCGTTTAGACAATTAGAAACGTATCTCGCAGGAAAAACTAGTTCTAGTACTCAAAAGAGGAATCAGCCTGATGACATTGTTAGAAAGGTAAAAGAACTAGTCATGTAATATAAGTAATGTAAGTAATATTTTTTATATAAATCTCCATCTGTTTTGCAGCTAATGTTGGATAGCTGGAACCAAAGTATATTCAATGAAATAAAACAAAGACTCCAGGATGCAGCTATGAAATTAGTAAGAGCTGAAAGAAACGGTGAAGCATTTGACTCTCAACTTGTTATTGGTGTCAGAGAATCTTATGGTAATAATTGAAGAAATATGCCACAAGAGTTTTTATCTATGCAGTGAAATATTTTTCCCTTCGTAATGCAATATTATAACATTTTAGTAAACTTGTGTTCAAACACATCGGATAAGCTTGAGATATATAGAGACAATTTTGAGGCAGCATATGTACAAGCCACCGAAGCGTTCTACTGGGTTAAAGCGCCAGAGTATCTATCTATGCACGGTGTAGAAAATTATATGCGTTATGCCGACTCCAAGTTGCGAGAGGAGGAATTGCGTGCTCAGAAATACTTGGAGCCGAATACCACTAGTATGCAAAGATTAACAGAATGTTGCGTGAAAGTGTTAGTCGCCACCTTCAAACCAGCCATACTCGCGGAATGCCCGCGGATGATTCAACATAATCAAACTGATAGTGAGTATCGCTAGTTTTCGTGCTTGTGCTGGCTTGCGTTCAGCTTACATGCGCCTCGTGATCGTTATTAACGTGAACAAATCATTGCAGAGCTTCGCCTCATGCTGAAGTTAATGGACAGAGTATCCGACGGCGTCAATCCTATGTTGCGAAATTTGGAAGAACACATCGCGTGCGCGGGCCTGGCGGACATGATGGCAGCTGTGGACGTTATTACACAAGATTCCGAGAAATACGTGGAAAGACTGTTAGAGCTCTTCCATAGATTTTCCACGCTCGTTAAAGAGGCGTTCGATGATGATCCACGGTTTCTTACAGCACGAGACAAAGCTTATAAGCTCGTTGTCAATGACGCCACGGTATTTAAGTTAGAATTGCCTACTCGGCAGGGTTCCGGGATCAGTAGCGCGTCTGTTTTAAATAGTAGACCTATTACTACTAACAATGGACTGGCCGAGTCGAAGTGTCCGGAACTCCTCGCGAATTTCTGTGATATGCTTCTTAGAAAAACGCCCCTGAGTAAGAAACTAACTACCGATGAAATCGAAAGTAAATTGAAGGATGTGGTCAGTATACACGATGGGATAACTATATTCGCATAAATAAGAAAGCAAATGTGTCTAATAAAATTAATTCTACATCGCTTCTATTCGATTTCAGCTGTTAGTGTTAAAATACGTTCAAAACAAGGATGTATTCATGCGTTATCATAAGGCGCATTTAACTAGACGGTTAATATTGGACACGACCACGGACTCGGAGAAGGAAGAAAATATGGTGGACATGCTTCGCGAGGTCGGCATGCCCGCGGACTTTGTTAATAAATTAGCTCGTATGTTCCAAGACATTAAAGTGTCGCAGGATCTGAATCAACAGTTCAAGGAACAATGCCGGGCCGCCATTGCGGATAGCATAAATATTAAGGTAAATGTATGCATTATTTTGCGCTACTTAAAATTGTTATTAAAAATGACACGACACAGGCGCGTGCGTGCGTACGTGCGTGCGTGCGTGCGTGCGTGCGTGCGTGCGTGCGTGCATTCTCCGAATTCAATACTTTTCCACAGATTCTCAATGCGGGCGCGTGGGCTAGAGGTAGCGAGCGTGTCACCGTGAGTCTACCGCTCCAGTTGGAAGATTATATTCCAGAGGTCGAAGAATTTTACAAGAAGAAACATAGCGGAAGGAAGTTGCAGTGGCATCATCACATGTCGAATGGCACGGTACGGCGATTTAATTCACATTGACATTCTTTTGAAACGGCAATAATCCTAGCTTCATTTTTAACATATAATGTGGATGTTTCAGATAACATTTGCAAATAAAGTAGGACGTTTCGATATAGACGTAACGACCTTTCAAATGGCGGTGCTGTTCGCCTGGAATCAACGACCCAACGAAAAGATCTCGTACGAGAATCTCCGATTGGCCACCGAGCTCCCGGATCCCGAGCTGAGACGGACTCTCTGGTCCTTGTGTGCCTTCCCAAAGCTGAAACGGCAACTTCTTTTGATAGAACCGCATGCCGCCACCCCGAAAGATTTTGCGAATGACACGAGATTCTGGGTCAATCAAGAATTCACTATTGTGTACGTGTTCTAATCAATTTTTCGAATTATTAATAATAATTGCAATGATTAATTGCGATATTCCCACATTAGGAAAAACGGCAAGATGCAAAAGCGGGGCAAGATAAACCTGATAGGACGTCTGCAATTGTCGACGGAGCGTAGCAGGGAAGAGGACAACCAGTCTATCGTACAGCTCAGAATATTACGAGTACAGGTGCGTCATATATTTTTTTTTTTTTCAATAAAGCAGTACGACAATAGAAAAATATCGATCGATGTTTATTTAATTTAATTTGATGATAATGAACAATTCTCATCCTTTTACTTATTTCTCTATCGCAGGAGGCTATCATCAAGATTTTGAAGATGCGCAAGAAAATTTCTAATGCGCAATTACAGACCGAACTAGTGGACATATTAAAAAATATGTTTTTGCCGAGTAAAAAGATGATAAAGGAACAGATCGAATGGCTCATCGAACACAAGTATATTCGTAGGCACGACGATGACATTAATACATTTGTGTATATGGCATAACACGGGATTATATATACATACAAGATTGTTCGAGCTATGGTTAATATTATATTTTTATAAAACAAAAGATTTTTAGTTTTCTCATATGCGAGGATACATTCGAGTCCACAGTGTTGCGCGATTATGTTTTACCCGTTTTCCTGTAATACAGTGAAGAGAAAGAAAAGAGCGATATATTATTCAACTGGGTCTTCAAGTAAGAAGCACATGTCTACAAAACAAAGCCATATCGCCACTAAACAATTGTTATTATGTGAAATGTATAGCAAAAGTCTGGGGAAAATGTCGCAATAATAATAAGAAATCATATGCGGTGTACAATATTATATTATGATAAAATTAATGTTTAGTTTACTTTGGCATTGAATAGATTAATCTAATTAAGAATTTGGAATTTTAAAAAAAAATGAGAATCACCGGCAATACTATCATTGATTCAACTGTTTATATTCTTAAAATATCTATATTTATATATTTAATCTGTACTGTCAATCTTGAATTTGTTAAAAGAAAAAAAAGTTACAGCAGTCGACATGCAAACAGCAATTTGGCACTAAAAACATCGATAGATTCTTGCACAAATCTAAACGATGGTGCACGACGGTATTGTATGTACATTGCATCAAATTCAATCGTAAACAATAAAAATTCGCATATACTTGAATAAATATATACATACTGTAATGTTTTACATACGGATTTACTCGTTACTAATTAAAATGTGGACTACTGCGAAAGGTTTGTTCGAATATTCTCTACACTATATGGCATTCTTAATTTTAGCCCTAGGATTTTATAATCAAATTTGCGGACGGCGTTTCGAAGATGTTCATACCTCTCATTTTCAGAATACACATTAAAAGCCCGACGAATAATGTCATTCAATGGCCTACTTTGGTGCGTAAAGCATGTACCTCGCAACACCAAACTTGATTTTAGTGGTGATGAGAACACGTGTATTTGTATGATGATTTCTATACCTCCGGAACAGTCTTACGATGGTTCGAATCGTTGAAATAAGTCAGAAAAGTAGTTACTTAAGCAAATAATAAACGACGGTCATATGTATAAAGCTTTTATATAACGTCAATAAGTGAAAGACGAGTGTAATGGTATAAAATCTCAATGAATTAAACGACAGACTATTTCATAACTGTGTACAATACGTCATTATCGAATCTTGTCGATCTCTACTTCATCTATCATTGTTTATACAGACAAACGGAATAAATTCCACGTGGCAATGAGTAACGTTCACATCAGACCATATAAATACATATATCAGAATCTCTCTTCTTTTTTTTTTTTAACGTAAAATAATTTGTATTTATATTTTCTTCGATACAAATAATTTGTACATTATTTCCTCTGGTGTAATAATACGTATTTGTTTAGATCTTGATTTTCGGCAAAGAAAGATTACACTTGACACCGAAACGGTTTTTCACACCGTTTCGACGCCGGAAGAATATAAGCCATACTATGTGTTAAAGTAAGTGTTACTATAAAGTATTTATAAATATTCAACAATTAGGTTTTAGGTCACAGATCTTGCATTAACAGGAATAATACGTTTCACTTACAGAACAATATATACATATACACAATCACCACTGCCGCTGTGTAAATCAGTAACGCTGATATGATCACATGCTGTATTGATATTTCTATCCTATTTTTCTTCTAACTTAATCCTTAAAGAGCAGAGTGATAACAATAAGTTAAACTTTGTTAACAAGAGACCATAGATATAGATTTAGGATAGCGTGTAATGTTCAAGCTAATGCGAACTAGCTCCCTACGGAAAACACAGAACGAAGAACCACATGATAACTTTTTTTTTAGAACAATACATTCGTATACACACACATATCACATACATATTAATGCCATATATCTCCGTAGATTTTACTTTTTTCTCGCACGCATGCAAAAATCTTGATAGAGAACTCGATTGACACAATCGTGAAAGCATCTTTTTTTTTAAGAGAAAGAGGAATATAAGTAAATAAAAGAAAAATCCTTGAAACTTTGATTCTCTGATTTTGTCAAGTGTTCTAACATTAGTATCATCTGTGGATTCACAACAATAGTCTGCATTAGACATTACGTGCTGTTTAACAATCTGAATAACACACCGACAACGAGAGGTAGAATTGCAAAATCTGTATGCATCTTCAACAACTTTTCTTCAATACATTAATTGTTAGCTTCACCACGTCGGACGTAATTTGTCATGATATGCGATTATTGACATTTATTAAGAAGAGAACAAAGATGCGCGCGTGGTGTACGTTTAAATTGTCGAAAATTTCTTGAACCCACAATGTGCATTGTAACAGAAAAAAAAAAATGCAAGTACATCTCGCGAATTTTCAACAGATAAATATAACTGAAATCTATATCTTGATCAGTATATAACAGCAGATATTTTTAGATTACTGCTACCCGCAAGGAGCTTGATAGTTATTTATACCAAGCTGTATATCGTTGTTTGCAAGCTGTAATCATTTTTACATCTTTTTTTCACTTTTATGTCATTCAGAATCAATTGTAAATTGATAATTTCGGGTATAATACTAATTCAAAGTCATTTCCTAGATTATCGTTTCGAGACTAAATTCGAGAAAAGATTCGAGATTAATTTCTTTGGAGCGTAAAAACTGATCGATGTATGACAAACCAAGACGCGGCTGAAAGGAAGGAATTAGTGCTCCGGACATCGCGTATGCTGAATGCGAGGTGCACTTTTTGCCGTACTCGCGCCCTCGCAAACGTGCACAACTATGCCCGGCTGCCCCGATCCTCCTGGGTGTAATTCATGACTTCCGCCTGTAATATTAATCAACAATGTACGGTAAAGTTTAGATTTGAGTGCATTGCTTCCATGTATTATAAAATAGCTGTAAAATCGAAATGGTAAGAGATAATAACCTGTGGATAAATTGGCTATAGCAGCTAGTAGATCGTGATTAACGAGCGGCTCTCCTTCCTCGCGCGGCTCCCAACCAACCGGCGGAGAAGCCGGTGGAGATATGAGGAATTGTTTGGTGAGAGCGGGTGGTTGAAGATGTCGATCCTCCATATCTAAAAAAGTTGATCAGTTTTCGATAGATTTTTTCTTTTCCACGAATATTTCTTCTCTACTTTATCAATTGTCTCAGTGATTATTTTTCATCAAGCAATCATACGAGTACAAACCTATAGGCGTCACCGGTTGTGCAAAATAACAATTAATGTCAGTTTCTCCAAAATGTGCTTGATGCAATTGTATTCTTGCATTTGCCGCGGCACTGGGGGAATTGTAGTTTACTCTCATCCTTCTGAAGGATCTGAAGTATTGAAACGTAGCATCTTCTCCAAATTGCTTGAAAAGATCTTCAATGTTTTGCTGCAAAGATACAATATTACAATGCAAAGATCTCTCATTATGCAATCCTATGTAAAAAATGTTTATTACCTTGAAATCATCATCCTTAAAAACTCGAGGATCCACATTAGTAACAATCACAGAAGTTGGTAGGTCTTCATCGTGAACTAACTCATCAATTGATCTAAGATTTGTATCGTAGTTTTCTCTTTCCAGTTCAAGCTCCAACTGTCCGTAATTTGGGTGTAAATTTGGTAAGCCATCCACTTCGTTAATTATTATATTTTCGGAATCTTCTGTCTCGTCCTCTTCCATCATACTTCTATGACCTTGTTTCTCTTCCATTTTCTTTCCTATTGTGCTTTAAAATAAAATTAATATTTTAAGATATAATTAAATTACTTATAATTAAAATATTCAAAATTAAATGTTTAGAGCTGAATGGCGTGGAAAAATTTATAATTTAGATTTGTGTTCACAATGATATGTAAACTTAGTGAGTGCTTACTTTGATAAAATAACAAACTGTTTACATATACGCAAACACCACTTAACTAATGAAATTAAAATGTATTTTACGAAAAAATATTTCTAACAAATCTGAGTAAACCAGTAAGATAAATATTAACTGCACTTAAAATCAGTCTTTACAACATTCTTTCAGATTGATGTATCAACAAAAGAGATCGATAAATTAACGAACGAGCAATGCAAGCATAGATCAATTTTATTGACCACCATCACATTCAAGTTCACTGCTGAGAATGCAAGGTGGAATAAAAAATGTTGCGTATGTGTAATCTGCTGTTTACCTCAAATGTTATTGGGATTGTCATTTGTATTGTGAAATTCGATAAATAACAGTACAATACGAGAAATTTCTCTTACTTGATTCGATCTCTAGTGACGAGAAGACCAAAACACCAACGGATATTTTCAAAACGTTGCTTCGTCACAAATATTTCGTTACATGCACAACGTCTATGCTGGTCTATGCCATCTTAACAAATTTAATCATCACGTCGCCTCGATATCGGCATCCTCGAAATGCAATTCGCTTCTGTCGTGCTCCGTCGGCGTTCGCTATTTCATCGCTTTTATTATCACGTAACCGCACGTCATCGTCGATTCTACGACAACAGGAACAGCGGATACTTCGCGCGTCCTATCCGTGTCGCGATGCGATCGAATGCCATGGCCAGAGAACGGGGTTAGGCTAGGTGCGATAGGCCAGGAGTGGAAACTGTTTAAACTATTAGGACTATTTAAATAATACCACATACGAGTTTTATCGGGCGCGCTAATTAGAGGGAATTTCTCGAAATTTTCTTAATAGCTAATTAAAATTTTTAATTTAAAAATTGTAACATTGACATAGTAGAATTATAATCATAAATAAATAACGACTTATTTACATAGCATATGTACAATTGCACAATCTTTTTAATAATATATTTCATATGTTTAGGATATGTGAAAAATGTTTCTGAATAGAAAACAATATTCGGGTTGCAATTAATATTTTTTATTATCTTACTCTTACAGAGTATTGCTACATAGGTCTTAATAATATATTGCACAGAAAATTTACTTGTATAAGTTACACATAACAATTAACAAAATGTATCATATATAAATAAGTAATTTTTCAAAGTTAATATCAGGTACAACCTGCAAATTTTCAATTTTAATAGATAATATCTTAATTTTGTAAAATTGCTTTGAATATCACAAATAATAATTACTAACAAAGATAATGCTTTGCATTAGTTTAACATGTTTTTGAAATACACTTTTGTATATATAATGTCTTTATAATAGGAATTTTGCGCGCGCGCGCGCGCGCGTGTGTGTGTGTGTGTTTTTGTTGAACATTCTGCTATATTTTTAAACCTATAGCTTATAAAAAATATGTAGAAAAGGATCACGCATATCTCTGTTTTAATACATGCATAATATTATATAATATGCATTGATAATATGCATTACATGCATATTAATTGCAAAAATCTTTCCTCATCATTGTACTTATTAAAAATTTAGTCTTATTAAAGCATTGACTAGGTCACATTGCGATTAAAATAAAATCTAACGATTCTTCGCTTTTAGCAAGAAATTGCTTGTATATATATATATATACATATGATAGTAATGATAGACATTGTCTACACCAGAACGATAATAGCAAATCACACATATGGAATAACCACGCATATGTTATTTCGTATTGATACGACAAAATTAGTCTATTAGAGTTTTAGACATGTGCAGAATGAAGTCAATGTGTATCTTATTATCTCTCTGTGTTTATTTTATAACGTCATTTATCCACATATCGTCATGCAATATTTAATACTCGACCAAACATATATGCATCATAATAGATAATCATGTTCACTTCTAATTTTTTATAATACTTTACAATTTGATAATACTTCATGATTCATAAAATAATTTGCACTTATGTGTATGTAATAAATATATGTGTTAACTAATTTGTACACCACTCACACATGTCTATCGCAAATAATTAAAATTAATATCACCGTGACGAAAAAAAGCATTTACAACCGGTTTATATGCGGAAAAATCCTTATTGTAGTATACAACCGCTTGCGTTTTTCGGTTCCTTACTGCTTTGATGGACCGCCTCTTCCTTGACTGGCGGCAAAGTCTGCTCTTTCTCCATTTTCGCTGCCGCTATTCCGGCTAGTACCTTGTACGTGCCTAAATTCCAAATGGAGTTCGGCGACGGCATTTGGAAGTCAATTGGACTGACTAAGCCATAAGTAGCTTTGGTGTCCAAAGCTGGAACTTCTCCCGGTATTGTATGATGATATCTGTATGATTTGAATTTGCATTAGTGTATTATCGAAATGCACATACATTTTAAAATAAAAAAATATATATATATGTAAAATAATTACATTAAACCGTTCTCCCGATTGCATTTATCGAGAGTGAGTTTCACTATTGGCGCTAGACGTTTAAACACAGCATGCTGATCGGGTTTAACGCGAGGCGCAGGCCCGTTCGTTTTCCCGTATTCTTGACATAGCGCTTTCGCTTTCTTCAAACATGACTCGCTTTCTTGCATCGCTCGTATCGCTTCGCCGCACTTATCCATTGCTAACAAATTTTCACCGCAATAGTTATAAGCCTGGAAAATTAGGTTTATATATAGACAATATATTTATTACAAATATTTATTATAAATATTTTTTATCAAATTTATAATGATTGAATAATTTAAGTAAATAATCAATTGTTATAGATTTGTGAGCTTACATAAGATTGATAAAATGCTGCTTTAAGCTCCAAATATTTTGTCCATTGGGCAGATATTTCTGGCTTGAAAGGACGAAGAGTATTAGCAGCGTCCAGGAACAATTTACTGGTCTCATTAGCTAAAGCTGATATCAAGCTAGAATTGTGTTTGAGCTCTACCGCTCTGGCCACTGTCACTGCAGGAAGAAGAGCATGTAAGCATAATAAGTAAATTTGTTAAAATAACTTAGTTTGTACAAGTACAACCTTCTTGCGCTTCCGCTGTACATTGATTAACGTATGCATTTAGCACGCGTGGGTCTAAATCGCTTCCCAAGGGAGGTGGGTTGTCCAGTTGTGGTAAAAACTCAGTCTGCACAAAGGTGAATATTCCAGCTGCTCGTCTCAACATACTGTGCACTTCTTTGGCCTCATTCATTGTTATGCTGTAATAGATTAGTTTTGTATTTTTCCTTATGACGTCAGAGGAAAAAAAAATTCTTATTTAATTTATACTTACTCGTCTTTTGCTGCGATCATTGCTGCGTGTTTCATGAACCAGAGGCCTATATTGACACTCATGTTGGCTGCTTCATAAACAGAATCAGCACTGGAACTTTAAAGAAAGATCACAAAAATTATTTTAGAATTATTTAGAAATCATCTTGGAAATATTTTACTAAGTATTCTTTCATGATTAATTACAATGTGCCTCCACCGAGTAATGTATGGGTCCATTTAAATACAAGAATACTTCTGAGTTTGCTAGGGTTGGGTCTTCCAACATGTTGCGCCTCTTCCTCAGATGGTTTAACTTCCCATAAAAATCCATACAGCAAACTTAGATAACTGAGAAATGCAGGTTCAATGGTATCACTAGTGTTGTTTGCATTTCTAATTAAATCCAAAAGTCTAGCCCTTGACAGCTTTAAGTCACTGAAAACACATATTATATGATAAAGAAATATTTGTATTAAAATTTAAAAAAACGTCAATAATATTTTTAAAAAGAAACTTAATGTTCAAAGTAATTAATGTCCAACTAATGTAAAAAACATTTAAATGATATCAATTATCAAACAAATGTCAATACGTTTTAACAATGTAAGTACTCTTGAAAGATAATCTTGTCGAACATGTATAATTAATTTACTTTAAGAATCTAACATTATAATTTACAGCAGCCTTGGAAAATTAATAAGTGTGTCAGCAAGTGCGCAATACGGAGAATTATCGCCAAAATCTCTAACCTGCAAAGCTTTCTACTGGCGTCCGTGGGATTCGCGACTTTCAACTCGAATTTCTGATTTGTCGTCGCTTTTAGGACGTTGCGATGAAACCAATGCGCCATTTCGTCACTCGAATTTTACGAAATATCCACGTTCCGACGATCGGCCGCGATTTTACGGTCGCTTCCGATCCAGTTTCAGAATTTGACACTTATGACAGATAAGGTAAACTATCGCGGAGCAATGCCGCAGCGAGACTCGCCGTGTGACGTATGACGCTACATTCAATGGAAGATATTCCACTCTCCCGGGACGCCGATGCTGTGAATCGCGATCATGTGTGTACGTGTAGTAGTCGGTAGTAGTACGCTCGAGTACGCGTGTATACTACTCTACGCACAGTTGTTTCCCGTACGCATAACTTCCGTCTCGCGTGCGAACGTTCCGTATTTATTTTAGTATTCCGTGAAAGGTAAGAAGCTTCGAGTGATTTTAATTTACACAAAGATTAATAAAGGCACGATGTGTAAGAATGCAACTTCCTACGAAAATCATACCAAATGTTTGCCTGTGAAAATTATTTTGTAGCAAGCGGAAAGCTAGATTAGTGGGCTTATGCTCTAACCTGGATACTGTGCCAGCGCACAAGTTGCGGAGATGTATATCACAGGAGATATATATTGTTCGATAGATTGCTTCGTGAAGAAAAAACGTATTTAGTCGCAATTAATTCAAATTCGCCATATGGCGAATATCGCTGTCGTGCATAAGTACGGCCTTGAGTGACAGTGATAGTTTATCTGTAGATTCCTCTCGGCAAATAATTACTCTCGCAACTGATAAATTCTTGAGACCTCGTGCCGAAGTAATCTCTCTACATTCCATTAATATTTTATTAATACAATTTTAATATTCTATTAAGATCCTATTATATATTTATGATATAATATAAAGATTAATTATTGAAGATTATATATACAATATATAGCATAATGTTTTTGATCTTGTTACAATTTTACATCATTTGGCTAAATAATATGTGTATAAGAAACTAAAATGATCTCAATTGCAGATGGGTGAACCATCAGGATTGACTAATAGTGAAGCCCGTGAGCTTTGCAAGGCTCCGGATCCTGCGACAAATGGATTCATCATGCAACAGACAATGTATCGTATCAAGGACCCAAGAAAATCTTTGCCATTTTACACTGAAGTGCTCGGTATGACTCTGCTGCAGAAGCTTGATTTTCCAGAAATGAAGTTCTCTTTGTATTTTCTTGGATATGAGAATCAGAAGGATATACCAACTGATAGGAGAGAAAGCATTGAGTGGACATTCAGTAGAAAAGCAACTATAGAGCTAACTCAGTAAGTTGAATATGTAATCATTCTTAATACACTTTTATTCACTGACATTTATGAAAGTTAAGTAATGTATAAAGAACAATTGTCTATATAAATACATATGTATTTGTATTTTTAGCAATTGGGGAACGGAAACAGATCCAGATGCAAAATATCACAGTGGAAACTCAGATCCTAGAGGATTTGGTAAGGAAGTGATTATATATAAATGTATTAATATTATTTTTAGAACAGATTAGAGTTATACAAGAGTTAAATAAAATAAAAAAACAGGTGCTATTTATAAAAATTAAAGTCTTTTATACAAAATGCAAATAAAATGTTTTCCTTAAAACAGGTCACATTGGAATAGCAGTACCTGATGTAGAAAAAGCATGTGAAAGGTTTGAGAAGTTAAATGTGGAATTTGTAAAGAAACCAAATGATGGAAAAATGAAGGGACTTGCTTTTATTAAGGATCCTGATGGTTATTGGATCGAAATTCTGAACGGGGGAAACATTTCAAATACAATGTTAAGTCATTAGTACAGAAGCAATAAATCCTTAAATGCAACAGGTTGCATCAAACATATGTTATTAAATAATGAACAATCAGAGATCATATTATTAAATTCAGTATATAGATGCAAACCAAACACCACTGTGTAAGTTAATGAGTGAAATGATACGTATTTATGTACACTATATTTTGTAGCAATTGTACATTCTCTTATATTACATTGTGTTATATGTATAGAGTATGTAATGTTTACAGGATTTCTCAACGAATAAAATCAAAATATTTATTTTTCATTTACACATGTGTAGCGACTGTTATTTAAAAATATTCAACCATTCAAATTAAAATAATGTATTGGTTTTTTAATGATTGTTCAGATATTGTGTATATATTTTTGTAACATAAAAATGTATTTCTCCTTATTTCTTTTTTGTAATTAAAAATATTGAGATATAAGTTTTCAAATTCAATTAAAATTGTATAAATATCGCAAAATCATCGTACTTATGATATGTGTGTATATGTGACTAAGGCTCTTTATGTATGCGAGCAGCTGCAAGTGATATGTGTGTATGTGTGGATGACTAAATGGGAATATCTTCAGCTGCAAAGCTCTCAGACTGCAAAATAGAGAGACAGCAAATTGCCGTATATGACGTTTCGTTCTGACACTATCATTTGCGAGCGGTTTTTCGTAATTTTCGTTGCTACTGCTTCCCGCGATACTCTCTGACGTTTACGCATTTCTCGTGGTCGGCGGTATTGCGATTTTATTTTTTCCTTATTTTCAATGTACATTGGTGGATTTGAGGTTATACTATCAGCCGCAATCTGAAGCAAGTGTATCTTGATAGGTACATTTTTATAATAAAATTTTTATACCTGGTACAATATTATCTAATAATTTATTTATTAAAATTGAGTTGTAATCGTATTTTGATTAAAGAACACTATCTTTTCATATTTTCTACTGTGAGTGGATAACAACTGTCATTGTGATCTTTTTTTAGGTATGGTAGAAGATAAAAAATATGAAATTGCAAGCCGTATCGAGTGTGATGGATACCGGGGTACATTGAAATACGTTGGACCCGTTGGAAACACGAAGGGAGAGTGGCTGGGCATCGATTGGGACGATTCAACTCGTGGCAAACATAATGGCACATATGAAGGAGTAGAATATTTTCAAGCAAGGTAAAACATATAGAATAATAAATAGCAACGATAATGATGATAACAATATGATTTGTACTTTGTATATGCTAATCTTGTATGTAATTTTTGACAGACATTCCACATCAGGTTCTTTTATACGACCAGGCAAAGCCAAGTTTGGGATATCTTGCCCACAAGCCATCAAAATGCGCTATGGGCTGGTTGATGATGAATTAGCAGGCATAGACAGGGATGAGGTGACAAGTTTAAAAAAGGAAATTAACGCACCATTTTTAGAGCTTGTTGGTTTCTCCAAAGTAAATAAGAAGCAAAGTAAATTTGATCAGTTGAAGATAGTATGGCTGAGAGAACAGTGTGTAAGCAATGCAGGCAAACCAGGAGAATTGAAAGAATTGTGCCCAAATTTGGAAGAATTAGATATATCTAGAAATTTAATGAATTCATGGAAAATTATAGTGGATATATGTTCTCAGCTTCATTCTCTTGTACGCCTTAATGTTAGGTGAGTTGTAGCAAGCTTTTCCATTTTGACTGCATCTTTTAAATGTTTCAAAATATTACACAAGATTAAGCAAAGTTAAAAATCTTAATATTACTAATAATTATGCATTACAAGTTATAATCTAAAGAATTACTCGTATATTTATATCTGTACAGTGAGAATCATTTGCCCATTGAAGAAGATGTGGCAGCATTGAAAGACTCATTTCCGACAGTTAAGCACTTAACCATAGCTAGGATGAATTATTACTGGTCTGATATTCAGCAATGTATATTTATGTTTTCATCGGTTGAAGAACTATCAGTCTCTTTTAATATTGTTACAACTATAGACTACCTACCGGCAAATAGCAATTTAATGAAAATGGTTACACTAATACTCGAAGGAAATTTAATATCAAGTTGGGATGAAATACTTAAATTAGGTTCTCTTCCATGGTAAGTTATAAATTATTTAATATATATATATAATATATTTTAAAATGTGCAACAATTTTTATTTTATATAATATTGATATATATTTTTGCAGCTTAGAATATCTTAATTTGAATTCAAATAAAATAGACAGAATTAGATTTCCATCTTCGACCGTAATTGACAAGAAGACTGCACTTTTTCCTACTTTACGTCAACTGCACATCTCGGAAAACCACATATCAGAGGTAATGTAAATGTTATTTATAAATGCTACTATATCAGCAAAATATGGTACAATTAAGATGTTTTTACATCTCTAAAAAAATTTCTAATAATTATTTGATACAATTTTAGTGGCAATCAATTAGCGAACTGGATAAACTATCGAATTTAGAAGACTTAAAATTCAGAGAAAATCCCATTTTGAAGAATGAGACTGCAGAGACTGCTCGACAATTGATAATCGCAAGAATAGCGAAATTAAAGATTTTAAATAGCACAGAGATACCTCACGACGAAAGGAGAGGTGCTGAATATGATTATTTAAAATTGTATTTACCAAAATGGCTAGAAACTGAAAGTAATTCAGAGAGAAGAACGTTATTTACGAATGAACATCCACGATATTCCATCCTAGTCGACAGTATGTACAAACTTTATATTTTTCGCATTGCAGATAAATATCTTTTTTGCAAAATTAAATTAGAGTTTTTACGAAACAGAATTTGATTGCTATTTCGTGCGAAATAAAAGAAATTGCTTTATACTTTCAGAATATGGAACTGCAGGTATTCCCTCGGCTAAACCAAAAGTAGAAATGATTTCCAACGTGATTACGGTGGAATTTGTATGTCCGGATGATCCGCGTCAGCCTCGAGGGGTTAAAAGGAAGTTACTTAAAGACATGGAGGTCCAAAAAATGATAGGACTTGCTCAGAGACTTTTCAAGACCGGTGGAAAAATACCTGCTCTTTCGTTTATTCCGCGGAATGTAAGTTTTTAATTTTAGATGGCGCAAAAAAACAATTTATTAAATATAAATTTTGCGTTGTAACATTGCAGTTATCGAACGATGAAATTTCGTTGGACAAACCGCTGCAAGAGCTTAGTTATTATTCAATACAAGACGGTGATCAAGTTCTCGTGAGATGGTGATATCAAATTAATTATTTATAGATACGACTGTATTTTCTACGCTGTTAAAGTCTGCTCCATGATATTTTGTTATTAAACTTTTTTTAATTGCATAGCATCTCCTTAATGAGTTAATCTTGCTAACAAATTGTGGCAATCGTCGAGGTAAGCCAAATGAGAAAGGTGCTTGCCGTTATTGTAAAAAGTATTTGTTATATATTTTACATTCCTTATGATACAGTTGCAATTGCAAAAGTACAAATTACAAATAGGCGTTTGTACAACAAACAACATGATATATATTTTCTGTAGTCATCTTGCCTGTGAAGTAAAAGTAAGTAAAAGTGGATTATTCGGCCTAGTGTTTATATCGCGCAATCAATTTTGCTGCGCCTTCTTTTCGATCTTGGCAGCCTCTTCTTTTTCAAGTTGTTCCCGCGTTAGCAACGACAATCCAAGCTGATTCTCACGCGTAAATGGCTGTGCCATTTGTCGTAACCATCTTTTACTGATCTGAAAAGAATTGTAAATAAACATTTATGACCGCATGAACTAGAAAATTGTAATCACTAATCACACCTGTTACAAAGCAAAAAATTACCTGTATAGCTTCCTCGGTGGACAAGTTGCACAAGCTGTCATTCAAGTGTTCCTGTATCCATTTTGGTAATTTGCTCCGTTTGTCCGTTCTCGAGAATCTCTGCAGTGATGAACATCGTTTGTTAGAAAAACACACATTTCTAGAAACACGGATGGATTATTTTCAAAAGAGTTACCTTATCTGCGAACACCATGATACCGTAATCCGTCTTGCCTCTGATCGCGCGTCCTACGCACTGAGCGGCGTGTCTCATGGCATCGAAAGTTAAGAAATCGTTCTCCCGAATCTTCGAGAATATCGGAACAATAATTTATTCAAGCATGTGCAAACATAAATAACATTAGTTTGAATTATTTACATCGCGCTCACCTGAAACTGATCTCTCAGATATTCTAAACGTGCCTTCAAGATCCGCGATTGCGTGTACACGTAAGGTATGCCGAACATGAGTACAGCTCTGCCCAAGTGATGATCGAAGTCAACGCCCTCGGACACCTTTCCACGAGCTACCGAGAGCAGAACGGCACCTCTGCCGTTCTCGCAGGCCTTTATAAAATTGATCAGAGCCAAACTGGTCTCTGCCGAATCTTGAGTTTCGATAAACAGCAGCTTGTGCCTTTGAAGCTGATCCACAACCCCTTGATCATACCTGCAACGTTAAACGAGGATAGATAATTGTCATTATAAAAGTTCGGTGTAATGTATACGTACCAAGCAGCAACTACAGATTCCATGTACAAATACGATGTGAAGAAACAGACTAAACCGTCGGGCACCGTCGCAGCAAATTCCACCAATAACTGACCGTAATTTCTTATGACAGCCACATCCTCTCGCGTCTCATACTTCGATGAAATGGCCACTTGATCGTTACCTTTCGCAACGATCTGATGGAAACGCAAAAAAAAAAATATTGGTAAAGTATCTGAATTATTACGCGTCTCTCTTTTAACTCACCATAGGAAGAAGGCACGGTCTGGCCAATGTCATTGTGAAGGACGACATTATAACTGGATGGAAGTTTAGAATTTTGGGATACATATCCAATGGCGACAGAGTGCCGGAAGTGATTATCACCGATTGGAATCTGTCGAATATAGGCTTGATAGCGATAGAAGAATCTAAACAGCTAAAATGCAAGATTGGATTCAAGACTGTTGGCGTTTTGTCGTCGAACGGCTCGACTATAATTGTGAAACCGTGTGTATACGTGGAGACCAATGTCGCGAGATGCGTCACCAGAACCACCGGAGAGAAATCCGTTAAATCTGTTATTTCCATGGTGCGAAGGAGAGATGCTAATCTTTGAGCGCAAAACCGCAATGGTTTTCGTTCGATAGCGACCTTCGTTTGAATGTCTCTCAGAAACGCTGCAGGTGATTCTTGCACGACGTGTTGAACGCGCAAGCGAGTTTTCAAGTACTCGACAAATCGTTTCAGGAAACTGACAAAATGTTCGGCGTTTCTTATATTACCTGGAACGACTTCTGCAAAGAGAATTTAATATTAGATTGCAGAATTTTACACATGCAGATTGTCAACCAAGAGAGACTTATTTACCTTCAAGTATTTCATTTGGTAAAATTGGATTGGCCAAGATAACGTCGGTTTCCCTCTGCATTTGAGCATCTTTCAATCCCTCGACCAATCTGTCGTATTCATCCTTCAGCTTATTCACATCAACTTCCTTCATGCTAAATCAAAAACACTGACAATATTCTATATTTCAATTTTAACACACAAGAGTACTGAAACACTTACTCGGCTACAGTTTTTTCTTAAGAGTTGTATGTTGGCCGAACTTTTTCTCCATTAATCTCCTGTTTATTTTTTACGCTCATGGAGTCGATGCAAACGTTATCTATAATTTATAAACACATTTTTGTACTCGTATTACAAACTACCGAGTTCCAATAGAAAGGCAATTTTAGTTTTTTACCTAATATTATGGGCCTCATCAAAAATAACTACTGAACTCTTGCTCAGTTCTTTGGACACAGTTTCTGCGATCTTCGGATCCAATAAATAATGGTAACTGTATACTACAATTTGTGCGTGTAAGATCTGGAATTGTCAAGCATTGACAGTCAGTTTTACATTTATTCATCCACAAATCATGTTATTATTTAAATCATATAATAAAGTTTTATGATTTCTTACTGTGAATCTTGCTAGAAAATATGGGCACCAATTGCGATCTCTTCCATAGTCTTTCAAATCGTCGATGGAATAAATACCAGGAGGTATAATTTGTTCTTTTCCTTCCATATCAAAGCCTTCATAAAAATTACAAATTGGCGTCGACTCATCGTAATTGTGTCTTTCTCGTACATATGATGCAGTTAGAGAATGACAACGGCCATCCACAATTTTACCTTCTCGTTCTCTACTGACCTAGATATAAAATATAAATAATTTTGATACTTGATTACAGCAATTATTTTGATAAAAATATATATAAGTATAGCATTTTAATTACCTCAGGATGAATACACATATTCTTACGTGAGCTAAGAACTAAACCAACAATTTTTGGTTTGCTTTTGGTTTCTTTCTCATAATAATCCATAAGCTTCTTTAACTCCTCTATTACCTTCTCTATCTCTGGTACTGTTCGAGAACAGTAAATTAATTTTGTAACATCCAATGGATGTTCTAACATGTATGCTACTATTAGTGATAATAGAGTTATTGTCTTGCCAGTACCCGAAGGCATCTCCAATAGGCAATGTCCCTAAAGTATATAATTTAGTTAAAATACTTAATATTTAGAATAACAATACTGACAATACAGAAAAGAAACAAAGAAGATACCTTGGCATCCAAGCCACGTTTGAGTTCAAGCATGTATGCATATTGTTCTGGATAAATATAATCATAGGGAAAATAAACAACCAATCCATCCACGGTTATTCTGTAAAAAGTATGTATGTTAGGTATGTAAGTGTGTGTTAACTTTTCATTTGATAAACTGATCATACTTACTGCATATTGGTATTTGCGTTGTCACATGTGTGATATTGATAGAATGTAATGTCCTATATTTATAAAAAAATATATAAAAATATCAAAAAGACTATATTTTAATTCAAGTTACATTCATGGTTTTTTAATATCAAATCAAAGAAAATTGGGAAAAGCGCGAAGAATCTCATATAGAGAAAAAATCATGCGTTCACAGCAAAAACACTTCAGAAAACTGTAATTACACTGTATTCTATTTTTTTAAATTTATTAATTAATTTCACTTTTTAACGCGTACAATTTTAACCACTAAAGAATTGTACACTATGCACATTTCCAACCACGTTACCAAAATATACTAACAGCTATCAACAATTTGTTCGTCTGACTTATTACCGGCTTGCATTATGATTTTCTATGATTTCAAGTCTCAATTGCAGCGACTGTGGCGGTTCGTAGTGGAATCTAGCTGAAACTAAAAAAAATTGTCTACTTAATATTGAGTTGTTACTACTGAAAGAAAGATGTATCTGCCTTAAGGTCATTCTATAATTCGTCGCAAATGCCTCGTCGCTAGTCATGAATTCCACGTCTTACTAGAAATAACTAGAAATAGCACTTTTTAATTAGTAGTTGCCATCCTTCGCTACTGGCGACGGGACATTTGCGACGCATTGTAGAATAGCCCTTATTATTGACTAGTACTACTACTTCGTTTTGTCCAGTCGCCACGTTCTAATTGGATCTGAAAAATCTAAACAGCGCAAAACCAGATGTCGCTGAAATAGTCTCCCCCTCTACTCTTTTATTAGTACCAGAAGCAACAGGAATTCATTTCTACCATTCTGTTGTCCTACGTTCTTTTGCTCTTCCGGTGTTGTAAGTGCACGTGTTTTTATATGAAATCAAGAATAATTGTATAAAAAGCAGTTGAATTGTGCACACGGTTCGTTATGGGTAGACCAGGTAATAAATTCCGTCACGCAGTAAATATGATTGTTATATTTTGATTTGTTTTGATCGCCTATATAATCAACACGACTAATCTTCTTAATATGTTCCGTGCCGCGTGTATCACCGGTAGCTCACGCTAAACTTTCCAATTCAGATCCATTTAATATTTAGAGTATAAACAAGTACATTGTCGTAAAACATTTTATAACTTATTTCTTTTGTTCTTCACTGCATTTTGTAAAATGTTTTTATTTCGATAATAATGCATTTTTCAATTTCGAATTTATTGTTGTGCATACGTTTTACGCAAAAACTGTTTAGCACGGAACGTCTTAATGAAGCATGCATCTTCAAATTTAATAAACAGTTTAAATGCAATATTATCTTCATTTTTTATTATTTAGATTTAAAGCCACTTTTAGCAACGTTTGAAATGATTATGGATTATGTTTGTACCATACAACAAATTTTGCCGGCAAAAGAGCATGGTGATATAACTTAATAATTTGCACATAAAGTGTTAAACTGAAAAAAAATAATAATAACGGTTGACGGCATGTTAAAAACCTTCATAAAAAAATGTACATAAACTGTTACACAGTGTGTTATCTCAAAAGATGTCTTTTGTTAATTTGGATTTAAGATTAATAAAATTAAGATTATAAATTTAAGATTAATAATAATAAAATTATGAAAAAATATGGATTTTGTCTTGAAATAATTTGATTAATAAGTTTAATAAGTTTAATAAATTTAATTATGTTTTTAAAACTGCTTTTAAGTCAACATTAATTAACAGAATACCTACAAATGGATATGACTCCAATTTTATTTATTTTCCATTTTCTTTGATGTTTTTTTTTTTAATTTCAGGATTTGTAGGCAATAGAGGAGGTGGCCGTGGAGGTGGCCGTGGGGGTGGACGTGGTGGTGGACGTGGTGGTGGCCGTGGTGGAGGCAGACCAAGTTTTGGTAATAGTGGAGGTCCAAATGAACGACGAAGTGGTGGTAGAGGAGAACGTGGAGGAGGGGGTTTTAAAGGTGGGAAGAATGCGATAATAGTGCCACATCGTCACGAAGGTGTGTTTGTAGCCAAAGGAAAGGCAGATACACTACTAACTTTAAGTTTGGTGCCTGGAGTATCAGTATATGGAGAAAAAAGGATTGGTGTTGAGGTAAGCGGTGGCTTAAATTATAATAATTTTCCTTTATTTGCCTTTTATATTTAAACTAATGATGTACAATCATTTATATAGCAAGAGAATGATTCCGGCAATAAAGTTGAATACAGAATATGGAATCCGTTTAGATCTAAGTTAGCTGCTGCTATTATTGGAGGTGTTGATCAAATTTACATGGCTCCTGGTAGCAAAGTATTATATCTAGGTGCTGCATCCGGTACTACTGTGTCTCATGTTGCTGATATAGTTGGTCAAGTAAGTAAAATTTATAATAATCTATGAACAATCTGTGAGAAGTTTGTTAATTAGTGCAAACATTACACACAAATAAATTCATAGTTTTACTTTACACCATCTTGGTGTAAAGTAATTTTAAAACAATTATATACTCGTTTTTCTTAAGTTGAATTGACATTAATTTTGTTCTAAAAAAAATGCGTACAGAATTTATACTATTATATATTATTTTATACTATAATAAATATATATAATATTAAAACATTTAAATTATCTTTAGAATTTTTTAAAAATAAATATTTTGATATTTTTTTATGCAGGAAGGGATTGTGTTTGCAGTGGAATTTTCTCACAGAACAGGCAGAGATCTTATGGATGTTGCTAAAAGAAGGAGTAATATTATTCCTATAGTTGAAGATGCAAGGCACCCTCATAAATATAGGATGGTGGTAGGAATGGTAGATACCATATTCTCGGACGTGGCACAACCTGATCAAGCTAGAATTGTTTCGCTAAATGCGCAATGTTTTCTTAAAAATGGTGGACATTTTGTTATGTCTATTAAGGTAGATATTTATAATTATTCTTTATAATATAACAAGGTATAATATATGTAAACGTGGAAACTGACGGAAATCTGTCGATTTTAGGCGAGTTGCATAGACTCACTTGCGACGCCTGAGGCAGTGTTTGCAGCAGAAGTAGAAAAGTTGAAAGCTGATAATTTGAAACCACAGGAACAAATCACACTAGAACCATTTGAAAGAGATCACGCCGTGGTGGTTGGCATCTACAGGAAGCCGAAAAAGGCGTAAAAAATTAATATATGTATATATTTTTTAAATGCAATGTAACTAAAAAGCAGATAAAAATGAATGTGGGCAAGTAATAAATAGATAGCCTAATGGATAGCCTAAGTAATTATTTAGCCCTAGCAATTACCTTAACTTAGACATTTATATTTATATATGTGCATAAATATATAATAAGTTCAAGTTAATTGTTAGGACCAAGTAATTACTAAACTTAAAGTTACTCCTTTCCTTTAGCTACAAAGACTCCTTTGTGACGATACAGCTCTATTATTACGTTCTTTCTACCTTTAAACCCACCTTGTTCACGTTCTTCTCGACCACCACTTCGTCGTCCATTTGGAATCACCTTTACCAAGACTTCTACATTCATTTTCATCTGCTTTTGAATTATATCTTTATTACATCTACTAAATTACGTAAAAAGTATATAGATTTTTTTTATAAAGTAAAAAGTACGTTATTCAACTGATTAATCTAAAAATAAAAATTTTTTTTTTTGACATAGAACATATAGCAATTAGTATTAATTTGATCTGTTCTATTATGTAGCTAAATTTTTATTATTAAGATTTCTAAATTTAAATGTATAGAAACAGTCTGCAAAGTTCATATCGGTTTACACTTTTTTTCCGCTGTTATTGATCTGTCAATTCTTTACAATCTTTTTATATTAAAATTAACAAGTCCATCATTATTTTATTTTTTAGATTAATCAATCAAGCAAATAAAATAATTCCATATTTTTATTCTTGAGTCAATCGTTACACAATTTAATAAATTTAGAATATCAAATTTCTGTAACAAAAAACATATTTTTAATAAAATAATAGAACAAAACTTGATCAATAATTGAAATCAATATGCAGCGTAAATCTTTAAACGCGCCTAAGAGCGGTAAGTTAAAGGATATTTTTTTTCAGTCCGGAACATTCCTTTTTCATCCTCAATCAGGTTTTACAATCAGCGAACGCCGTAAATCGATGAGTAAAATATTAAACCGTCAAAGATCGACTATTGTGATCACTCATAATATTAATTCAATAAAAGTGACTAATCGCAATCATTTCATTGATAGCGCAGACGTTTTCGAAGAACCTAATGTCGAACGTCTTGCGAAAACTCCAGGATCTATCCAAGAAATATCAAGTCCATCTTCATTTCCAATCCTACCGATATCATCATCCATAGAAGAATCCATACAACTGAAAGTTAGAGATAAAGATAACTCTCAAGATGAACCTCTTCTTGCAAGTAGCCTATGTTATTCCTATGTTACGCAAACCTCAGGATCAATTGGGTGACTAATCAATTACATGTTTATCTTATAAAAACGCAAATTATTTATGAATTTACTGTCATTTTATTTAAAAAAAATTATGAATAGAGAAACAAGCGTATTTTAAAATATAAATTTACTAAAATTTTTTTATTAGAATTTATTATTGTTAAAAATAATAAATGTTGTTAACAATAATAAATGAAAGATATTTAGGAAAGAAATATTTATTATTTGTTATGGCATACATATACAGTATACACATGTATGTATGTATGTATGTATGTATATACATGTGTATGTTCTATGATATGTTAATTATTTATTATATTGTTTATTTATGTGGGACTAATTACACAACTGTCATTTATATAAAGTGATATTGTACATAATTATTTGGATTGTTCATCAACAGAGAAATAGATGAAATAATCGAATATATACATCAAAATGTCAAGGAAGCCAACAAGGCTCTAGCAGCTTTGAGCGAGCATGATCCAAAACTTGAATCTCACATTCAACTTCAAGAAAATCGTAGAATTATCTCGACATCTCGAGGACGAAAAAGAAGAAGGTACAATTGACAAGCTATCTATTTGTTATATTTTACGAATATAATGATTACTTCTTCGATATTTGTAATTACTCCACTTAATTAATTAATACAATAATGCTATTACACGAAAACAGTCACCAATTTTTACTTAGCAAATAACCCTATTTACACTTATTTTCTTTATCGATTATTTGCGTGCAAAGAAACTTTTCTTCAAAAATTCTACAAGTTACATATTTTATAAAAAAATGACTAAAAAACTGCTATGTGAGCGCCGCATTTTGACAATCGAATGTAATTGTAAACTTTCTTAATTAAATTTTATTTACTAGAAAGGAGCACTGGGAATAAAAGCAATTATGTTGAAATATACACCAAAGAATTGCTCTTTAATTACTTCTTCGATATCCGTGATTGCTCTATTTAATTAATTAATATTAATAATACTATTCCATGAAAACAGTCATCAATCTGTATTTAGCAAATGATCCTATTTATACTTATTTTCTTTAAAATCTGTTCTCTTGGAAAATTTGCTTCCCAATTACTCTTTTTATTTTCATTGTTAAATTTTTAATTTTTTGAGTTTTTATTTATAAAAATTAATAAATGATTATTTTATTGCGATTTTATTATACTTAATTTGACGTATTGTATCGTGTGTGTTACATTCGACGTGTTTTTATAGCTTGGTGGTGCGATTAAGATTATGACGTAGGTCCTTGCACTCATTTTTAAGTGAAATATTATTACAAGGTAAAAAGTGAATGTTTGTGTGGGTGGTTGTGATGCGAATGCTAACGAATTCAATAACGCTTGTGCCGAAAAGTTTGCTTTCTGCCGAAAAATACCACTTCACGCTGTTTTTAAATGGAAATGTAAGACTGTACGAAATTGTCAGATAAACATACAAATTCTTTAATTTTATAAGAATTAATGGTTACAAAATTAAATCTGTCGAAATATATGTGTAACAGAAGCTGAAAATTGTTTTTGTTTGTATTTAAATTTTCTTTATTATATTGTTTATTTTATTTTTTCTTTATTATATTGATTATTTTATCATATTAAATATATAATACCATGTACAATAATTCAATAACATCAGAAAATGTAATTTTAATTAAGAATAATCAATGTTTTTCGGGATACCTATTTTTCTACTTATATTATCTATTTTCTACGTAAACTGGGCAGAGCGTCTCATAATTTATAAACGAAATTAGGTGTTAAAGCTCTGCGAAATATAGTCCCAATTGGTTGGAAGCAAACTATAAAGTTCAATTTTAAAGATAAAATAATATAAATAAAATAAGTGATATTGTTTCGGAATTTACAAAACATTTTATTCAAAAATAAAATAATACGAAATGTATAATATTACTGCGATATTATTGAAATTCATATAAAATACATGTACTTTATAATGAGTGTATGGTTCAGATTATGATCGTAGCAAATACTTATTGTGAACGCCGATATTTTCAATGGGCATCTTTTCGAAGTCTTACCGCATACTACAACGACAATGTTCGCAATTTACCAATCACATTATTAGCAGACAATGCGCAGACTCTGCATACTGTTACAGAAAGGGGATTTTGGAATCGTCAAAGGATCGATCGTGATCCTCGATGTGTTGTGAGCACACCGATCACGGTAACAGACGTCTCCTGAACTCGCAATTTACTTAGGCACGTACAATTAGGCGAGGAATTTAGCGAACTCTATTCTTTTTAAGAAAAAAAAACCTTTGTAAGTGACCTTCAATAAATTTTATCACAACTTTAAATTTACTTTTACTATTTAATTACAGTTGAAATTATTTAAACAATTCTTATTTCGCCATTTTTTCAATAACTTTCTTTGTATGCATTTTTATGAAAAGTGAAACAGATGATATCGAAAGAATTTATTTTAACATGTATTACATCCAGCAAGGTTATTTAGTACGAATAATTTTAATTTTGCTCTTTTATGCAAATCTTATGCATTAACGATTTCTTTCGACAAAGTGCTGTGTTAAATACTCATACACGCATCGTAATTATAACGCAAAAATTGTTCACACTATGATTGGTTTATGTATTAATTATAACGAAATCAAATAATGCGAAACATGCGAATTCCATTCCAACGAATTAGACTAATAGGCACAACCAATTTTGCGGCATCTTTTTGCATATTAAACGTATCGAAGAAATAATCGTTAATATTTTACAATGTTAGTTACATTTCCTCTACAGAGCTATATTCCTTTCTTTGCTATATGCATGCATGTGATAAATAATAAAAAATGTTAATTTTACAATTTAAACATATTGTAAAGAATAGTTAAATTATGCTATCTATTGAAACAAATAATATAAATTTATGTTCATAATTAGAGATTAGATTTTATAATTTACTTGTTCGAACATTAATCTTTTTTTTATATGCGATGTCACCAAAATTAATTTATATAATTTCAGATCAATACGTATAGTTATTATTGATAATAAAATTTTCAGAAAAGGAGACATTATATTGATCGTAACTGCTAGAAATTCAAACGAAAAACCACACACAAGATGATGAGTTTTAAAAGAAATTTGTTATTCGTACTTGTTGTTTTTAACATGTTTACCTTGGGATACCTGTGTTGGACAAGCTACTCAGTACCTAATTGGAGGTCTCATGTTTCTTTCACATCAAACACATCGAACAGTAATTTTTCATTATATATATTTACTTCTATATAATAGTTTTAATATTATTTAGAGAACTCAAATTATTAATAATTATTTAATGCTTATATTTAGTTATCAAATTGCTATAAATCGTAAGAATTTGAAGTTGTCAATTTAATTTTACCTCAATGATAGATTGATAGAATAGATATTTTATTGTATATACATAAATTGATATGTATTTTTTTATAGTTTACTGCATGCATTAAGATTTGAGTTCGTGCACAATGTATATCTCTTTTATAGTGTGTAACCTTATATATGACCGTGGTTCTTGCAGGGAACCCCCCAGATTCAGTATATGCACGAGATAATGTTTTTCAAAAGGATGACACGATTGTCAACTCTTCTCATACGGGGACTGCGGAGGAAATGGAAATAATTGGGAACTTTATCAAGACTGCATGGAAACATGCAGTCAATAATATTTATATATAATACTTTATATATAACAATGGCGCATATTTTAAATCTATTCCACAATATAAAATTCTATAAAACATAACATTTTTGAGAGTTTCCCATATATTGATATATGTTTGTAATAGTTTGATATTGAGTTTAAATTGAAGTAATAAAAAAAGACTGTGTTAAGTTTTTATAAAATACTTGTAAAAGTTTTATTTTTACAATAAATGACTGTAGTAAAATAAAATGTACGGATAGGTATATGAAATATGTAGGAATATACAGGGTGTCTGGCAATAATCGCCCCACCGGTCATATACAGGTAGAGGAGGTCAAATCGAGTAGAAAAGTTCTTTACCATTTTTAATTTTCATAATAAGTACTGAGTAATTAACGAAAAAAGATCGGCGAATCCGCGCGAGTAAAGCGCGCGCGGTGAGAAGGACGTCCCACTGCTACGCGATCACTAGGACACAAGGATCTAGCGTTACGCGCCGCTCGTATGTTGCCATTGTCATTTGTAGAGCGCTCCTCCCAACGCTTCATCGCGCGCCTAGTGATCGCGTAGCAGTGGGACGTCCTTCTCACCGCGCGCGCTTTACTCGCGCGGATTCGCTGATCTTTTTTCGTTAATTACTCAGTACTTATTATGAAAATTAAAAAATGGTAAAGAACTTTTCTACTCGATTTGACCTCCTCTACCTGTATATGACCGGTGGGGCGATTATTGCCAGACACCCTGTATATGTAAATAAAGGAAAGTACTTTTGAATTTAATATTTTTTATATTCGTCATTATATTTAATACTACATTTAGTAATAATATTTACTACATATAATAATTTAATAAAGAATATAATAATTTGAATAAAACATAATCAGTGTTCAATAAAATATTTTTTTGGTTTAAAAAAAATATCATCTTATATCGAATTACCGCAATTATACTAATATATTATCAAAAATAATACACACTCTCAATGAAAGTGTTGTGTTCCTTTTTTACATTTAGACATTTAACAAATTGTATAAAGTTTTATGTGCTTCCCAAATATGTAAGGCAATTAGAAAACAATTTCAAGTAAGTGAAATTAAAATTTTATATATTTATTTATTACTTATGAGTAGATAAATATTATAATAACTTGATGTTAAATAAATTACATTTTTATGATGTCAAATGTTCAGGGTCAATATATCGATCAAATGTACACTGCTCAATCGTGCATCAGTAATAATTTGGCGTTGGGGACGAAAGTAATTATATTGAAGCATGCACCTAAAATCGCTCTTTAATTGCTCCTTTGATATCCATAGTTGCTCCACTTAATTAATTAATGTTAATCACGCTATTACACGAAAACAGTCACCACTTTTCTTAGCAATCCTATTTACACTCCCTTGTTTCCTTTAAAAACTGTTTTTTTAGAAAAATTGCTTCTCAATTGCTTCTCTTATTTTCCTTATTAAATTTTTAACTTTTTGAGTTTTTATTTATAAAAATTAATAAATGTTATTTGTTTGATGCGATTTTATTATCTTTTATTTGATGTATTATATCGTTTTTACAGCTTGGTGGTACGATTATGATTATAACGTAGGTTCTTGCACTCATTTTCAAGCTAAATGTTATTACGACAAAGTAAGAAATGAATGCAGAATGTTCTGTGGGAGATTGTGATGGGAATGCTAATGAATTCAATAACACTTATATCGGAAAATTTGCCTTCTACTGAAAAATACATTTTCACGCGGTTTTTAAATAGAAATGTAAGACTATACGGAATTGTCAGATATTCATACAAATTCTTCAATTTTATAAGAATTAATGGTTACAAAATTAAATCTGTCGAAATATATGTGTAACAGAAACTGAAAATTGTTTTTGTTTGTATTAAATTTTTTTTTATTATATTGTTTATTTTATATTGATTATTTTATCATATTAAATATATAATACTATGTACAATAATTTAATAACATTAGAAAATGTAATTTTAATTAAGAATAATCAATGTTTCTTGGCACACCTATGTAATTTTAAAATATATTTTTTCTATTTATATTATCTATTTTCTACGTAAACTGGGCAGAGCGTTCCATAATTTATAAACGAAATTAGGTATTAAAGCTCTGCGAAATATAGTTCCAATTGGTTGGAAGCAAACTATAAAGTTCAATCTTAAAGATAAAACAATATAAATAAAATAAATGATATTTCTCGTGTGGAAAATTAAATTTATCAGTGTCCTGTAACTATCTAATTATTTAGAGTTTCAACTCATCACTGTCTAGTTTTATTAGCTAATAGTCAAATAGAATTGTAATGCTTTTATGTGTGAGTGATGGTGTTGCAAGCATTAACTAATTATTACTCACACGGAACAAAAAGCTCTAATGGATATCTATTAGATGTCCATCATGGAGATTCGAAACCTCTATTAGATGTCTATGTAATTTCCTATAGATGTCTACTAGACATCCACAGTT